CATTATTAAGGCTGTATGTTTTTTTATATTTTCTTTTTATTTGTTTGTAATCATTTTGTATCACCGTATGGTTTAAACTTTTGTTACCTTTTGTCTGTAATCACTTTGATCTTATCACCGTATGGTTTAAACATTTGTTACCTTTTGTCTTTAATCAGTTTGATGTTACCAGTGTATGGTTTAAACTCTGTTGTCTTTATAAATAAGTAGTTATATTTTTTGTCTGTAATAATTTTAAAAATGAATGCCAGAGATCTAGACAGAGACAAAGCTCTTTCTGACACGCTACATAGTATAATTGATTTGCAAATACAAAATGCTCCTGATAATATGACGCTATGCGATAGATTACAACAAATGATAAGTTCGCACCCAGATGTGATAGGGCCATTTCCTAATTACACTATGCTAAATGCTTGTGATTTGCAACAAATAGAAATGGACCAGACCCTAAATTTGAATTTGTGCGATATGTTACAGATCATGTTAGAAGAGCACAACCAGCTGTTACAACAAAACAATGTCCAAAACGGTGGCGCATTAACAGATTCCGACTCTACACCTGCCGGTGCTATGCATTCATCAACTACCACTTCTGCTACCGAACGTTCATCGTCTAGAAGAACCGCACCCCCTGCAGGTAATAACGATGCCGAGCAACCTCTGACTCGCCGTGTCGAGGCCGCTTCTGATTCCGAGCGACCCTCAAATAGCAGAACAGCGGACCCTACCGGTACAACTCGGGCGATCATCGATGCAGCGATACGTAATGGCGGTACCGTAAACGGCTTTTGTGTTTTACCGCGACCGCGTTTTAACAGCGTGGATTTACGTAGGACTATGAATATGAGGGAGATCATGTCTACAGATTTAGCATCGTATCACGTCTCCTTGCACAACGCCATGGATGAAATAGTATAATTTGCCCGACAGATCGGAGGTGATGCTAGCGTAATCAACTTGGTTATGACGGCCCCTAGCCTTAATTCGTCCGTTAACGCCGTTTTAACCCCCGGAAATAATTATGACGTTAATCTATTTACAGAACAAATCGAAAAAATTTTACAAAGCAATGAAAGGCTGATGGTTGATGATGCGGTTGAAATTGAAGCTAATGTAGCCATGGATAGACAAGGA